GAGGTTAAGCGGCTTGCTTGGCATGCCTGAGGCTGCTTGGAGAATCAGAAGCAAGGCCCTGACCTTTCAGACCCACGAGGGGTTTATGTCGCTCACTGGTTCACCTCTTTGTCCTCTGTCCTTTCTCCTTCTTCCCCCATTTCCTTCTCTCTCTCTCCCTCCTTGCCTTTCACTTCCTTTTTATTTAAAGAAGGCCATGCTAGATTGAAAATGTATGAAATAACTGTGGTGGCCAAAGCAGTGAAGAGTGACAGCTAAAATAGAAAGTTCTGGAACTTGAAAAAGTATGAAGGACCACTAAGATTAGTTGAGGATTGATTTATGTGGCTAAATAGTTAATATGCTCAAAGAGGTTTTAAAATATGAGGCTTGTGATTAATATTTATAGCTCTAAGTGATGAGAAATGACCAGAAAAGAAGCCTGTTGGGTTGACTTAAAGATTCGAAAAATCTCCTGAGATCATACAGACTCAGGAAGGGGGAAGGCGGCGGTGCTATCGTGTTGGAAGAAGCTGGCTAATGCATGAGGAATCCAAAACAGGAGCTCTGGGAGAGGCTGTGTATGCACTGGAGGCAGGAGGGACTTGGAGGCAATTTCCACCTTCATTGAATTCATCTCACACAGACTGGCCTGATTTGGTTTATACTGAGCTTGTAAATCGAAGACTGCACAAAAAACCAGCGCATGAACTAGTAACCTATTTAGAAAATTCGTGAAAGAATTGGAAACGGAACGCTTTGAATCCATCCAGTTAGCCACCGGAAAGAAACACTGAGGGAGAGAAGGACTTCTGGAAAAATGGGTGCTTATCTGCCCTGCCTGCCTGTGGCTGTTGCCACGGAGAGTCAGCTCACTGGCTGTCCCAAGAGAAGAAATGTTTGTGGCTACAAATCTGCACTCTGTAGTTTAGTGTTCCCGGAGATGTCCTCTCCCTTTGGCGTGCGAGCAGTTTCTATATATTTGGCTAAGCTGAATTCTTCTAACTAGAATATAGCACGCTGTCTTGGAAATTTCTCACTGCTAAATGAATGTTTAAGAGCCTGTCATTAGCTGATAAACATAGATCCAGAAGAAGAAACTCATTTTAAGAAACTCTGGCATTCTGGCCTTAAAAAGAATAAATTACAGTATGATTAGTCACTTCAAAAAGGGTTTCTTCATTTAAAAAAAAAAAGCTTCACCAATGAGTATCTTTGAAAAAAAAAAAAAGAAACCCAAATAAAAAAAAAGAGAGAACTTTCCAACTTTATATTCTTACAAATATATTCAGTCTATAAATGTAGGTTACTTCACCTAAATATATACACAATGAACTTTGCACTACTTTGAGCTCATTCATGCATTCGTTCATTCAATCACATAAGAGATATTCATTCAGGCAGATCGCATGAGGAAGACAGAAATAAAATAGTGTCTTAATCTTCAAGTAGAAGGAATTGTCACTTCCTGGTTTTGGTGATATTGACTACGTTTTATGAAAATAAAGTGTTTGCTGTAAAAGATTTAGTAAATACAAAAGGAATCACAAGGAAGGAAGAAATAGGCCTGAAATCTCCATACTCAGAAGGATTCACTGTGGGAATGTTTATCCATTTCCTTCCTGTTACTTCTGGGAGTGGTGCACGCACGTGTACAGGGCTGGCTGAAAACAGGGTTTGAGGTGGGGCGGGGGGTGGAGACACCGAACCAAATGAAAGCGGGGCGAGAGCTTTGCAACTTCTAATGAGTTTGGACTTTTCCCTTTGGTGATGGGACAGATGGATGAATTAATGGCAAGGGAGTGGTGCACTTTAAATGCCTGGAATCTCTTTTCTCCTGCCTCCTATAGGAAAGAGGAGCTCTACCTGGCTGGAAGGGTGTGTCAAAGAAGATACAAACAATATTTGGTGTCCCTAGCCAGGCCCTGTGCTAAGTGCTTGACATGGATTTCACTTCCTCCCCTAACAACGCTTTGGGTGGGAGATCCCACCGTGCCCCTTTGGCAGAGGATTCAGCTACTGATGCTTCAGGAAAATCCATATGCAGGAGGTCAGCCAGCTAGCTCACAATTGATGCGATTAGGATTTGAACCCAAACCATCTGGCTACAAGAGTCCCACTGCAATTATCTATTGTTGTCTAACAAACCAAGCTGAAATTTAGCAGCCAAAAGCCCCACCCATTTTATCGCAGTTGGAAATCCAGGCAGGGCTCAACTTGGCTGGGTGTTTCTTCTCCTTGTGGCACTGGCTAAGGTCACCTACTGATATTCACCTGGTGGCTGGGCTTTTTGGGGGGAGGGAGGTCCGAAATGACTTCACTCACTTACTTTGTGCCTTGTCCGGGATCGCTGGGAGGGCGGGTGTAGCTGGGACTATTGACTGAAGCAATGGCCTCTTCAGGATGGTGGTCATCTCAGGGTATCTTGACTACTTACATGGCAGTTCAGGGCTCCCCAAGGCACTCGCAAATAGAAGCTGCCTTCGGGGTGCCTGGGTGGCTCAGTCGGTTAAGCCTCCAACTGCAGCTCAGGTGATGATCTCGCAGTTCGTGGGTTTCAGCCCTGCATCAGGCTCTGCACTTTGAGTGCAGAGCCTGCTTGGGATTCTCTCTTTCTCCGTCTCTTTCTGCACCCCCCCCCACTTGTGTTCTCAATCTCTCTCTCAAAATGCATACATAAACTTAAAAAAAAATAAAAATAAAAAGCTTCCGGTGTCTTAAAGCTTGGAAAGTGGTACAGGCCACTGCTGACATTCTTCTATTGACCAAACAGTCACAATCCACCTGGAATCAAGGGGATGGACACAGATCACCGCTCTTCAACACCATCTGTGGCCATCCTTAATCTCCACACATCTCAATACTTAATCACTGAGGAGACAGTGAGAGCCTGTCTGAATTGCTGGATTGTCTAGCTGGCTGATTGATTAATCTGTTAATCAAACGCACATTGGACAACTATCATGTGTCCGACACCAGGATATAACAAAACAACAGACGAGGTGTCCACCCTCAGGCACTTAGACTCGAACAAAGTGGCTAATCGTCACTGAGTAACAAACAGGGAAGATCGTGGGGCATCAGGTGCCAGGATGGACATGAGCCAGCTGAGGACTTCTAGGGGGGTGACTCTGGACAGCTTCTCCAGGGAGGCCTTGCTGACAGGTGGGGTTTCACCTACCAGTTGACAGAGGAACAGAGGGCTCATCCTCTAGAAAGAAGAAATAGCAAGTCCCCAAACTCTCAAGTAGGAAAGGACTTCGTGAATCTATGGAACCAAGAAGAAACTAATATGCCAGAAGGATGGTGGAAAAGGTGGGGTGTGGTCCCAGCAAACAGAGCCGTGGGTAGGAGCCAGACCACCCAAAGCTTCATAGACCAGAGAAATTTCATTTTATCTCCCTGGCAAGCAGAAGCCACTGGGTTTTGGGCAGGGGGTGTAGCGTGATCTAACAATGTTCACCTTTTCAGTGCATAGCTACAAAGTGCTGTGTGACTTTGAGCTGGACATTAACCTCTCTGGGCCTATTTTCACACTAGTAGTAAATGGGTTTGAGTGAATTGCAATGATCTTTTCAGCTTCGGTATCTTGACTCTGCATGTCCCTTGTTTACATTCGCACCTGGGATTGGCCCATCTTCACTTTGCAAGGAAATAAGCTACCTCTCGGACATCCTCCCCAGTCCTTCCTTCACGAATGTCCCTGCCTGAGCCCATGTGTCAACACCAGCCCGACCAAGACATTTTATCCACAATTGTGCAGATTAGAGGAGGAGGCAGAGATTAGAAACGGCAGGGTTTGCACATTCCGACGGTTCTTAACTTGATTTAAACTTTTGACCTGTAATGCTTCCCAGCTGTTTTGGAGTCACACATCCCATCTTGATTAGACTCGCCCCCAAAAGTGATCCAAACAGAGGGGGTTGTTTCAGGGACCCATCACCCTGCCTGGCCCTGGGGTTTGCAATTCCTGGCTGAAGGTGGTCATGGCCCCCAAGCCTTTTGCTTAACACAGCCCAGCAGCAAGGGCTCACTCTCTTCCCCTCTCACTCTGTGCACACGGGGGCCACCTTTTTAACAATCTGTTTTTACAATGTGGAGAAAGAGGTGGGAGCAGGGGACGAGCCAGAGTCCCTGCCCCCCCACACTTAATGTACCCCAGGTGGCGGGAGTTAACTGGGAAAGCTTGGGGCTCGGGTTCCAAAGTACACATTGAAATAAATGAAAACCAACTGGAGTTGCAATGGGCAGAGGCACAAGAAGAAATTTCATCTTCGAGGTTATTTTTTCTTTCTTTCTTTTTTTTTTTTTTTTGTTCAGAATGCTAATCACGGGGTGAACTCAGAAGGAATGTGCTTTCTCAAGATGAATTTCCTAACATGGTAGAAAATGGACAGAATCCAGGAAGCAGCTCTGCCTATTGCCTGGGGATGGATGTCTGCGTGCTGGCCACGAAGGGTGACCTCTCCATCCATCACCGGGGATGGAGCCTGCGGCCCACGGGATTCGGGGAGAGAGCTAAAAGTCCTCAAGTTTCTCCTGATTCTCTAGGAGCCAGAAATTCAGAGCCCTGGGTCCCACATTTGGTTTCTCTGAAAATAAGCTTTCAGGTGATTCTTTTTGTACGTGATGAGAAAATGCCCCAGGAACTCATATTTTTGTTCTGCGTGTTTCCTAGCATCTACTCAACTAAAGCACAACAACGTATTTATGTAAATTTGTGCAAATCAGCTGACAAAGACTTCCTATTATTTATTTCATGGACTCCATTCACTGGGCCACCCTGGAAATTTACGGCCGTACAATTGTTTGGAGACAGTGTATGTGGCAGGTTATGGAAACCAAACCTCCAGTCAGAACAAACCACCTTCACCATTTGGAAGCGTTGACAGGTCCCCGCTCACCTGGGCTCTCCTACTGAGCCTGGTTCCTGAGGGCCTTCCTTCAGCTCCTGACTCAGCCAACTTTCTCATCTTGGTTACCACAGACTCTCTTCTTGCATGGTTGATTCCAGTCCCCCTGATTCTGTGGCTCTTCCCCAAACGTACCAGACAAGTTCTTAATCCCTTTGCATGCTCTGTTCCCTCTGGCTGCGAGAGTCTCCTCATGTGCCCTCAAGTCCCTCACTCCATCCGCCCTTGAAAGCACATGCTCCCTGGAAAGCCTTCTCAGTGGTTTCACGTACAATTATTTCCTGTTATTTCTCACTGCGAATATGACATTAGGCCCATTGTAAGAGGATCCCATTTTGTGAGCCTTTTGAGGCTAGGCGCCCTGGTTCATTTCTGTTTCTCACAGTCCTTGCCCAATGCCTGCACAAAGTAAATGCAAAATAAATGTTTTCTGATTGAATTGGAGCACTTAATAAATATAAAACTTTATATAAAGATCCAGTTTACAAATAACAGTAATTTCTAATGAACTCTACAAGCATTTTTTGAGCGTCTGCACATCCAGGCATTGGGTGACAGCTTCTGCTATCAGGGCACAGCGTGGGTTGGTGTTTTATGTTGCCATAACACAGGTGCAGACATCACCATAGCTGGGATCCACCGGTTCCTCTCTTCTCCGTGACATTTTCCTCAGCTCCTTCCTGACTCCTGAGCATGCCCAGTGAGCCACACTGGGGAAAGATTTCACAGGGCTGGGACTGTCAGCCCCAGGGGCAAGGTGACCAGTGTTTTATTACATGATTACCAGGGACAAGGTCCCATGCCTCAGTCACTTCATTCTTAAACCTCATACCGTTCCAGAAAGAATCCAAAGAAGGAGACTGTTATAAGTTCCGTTTTACATATGAAGAAATGGAAGCTTAGAGAAGTTGTCATTGGCCTAAGATCATTCATCTACTGATTATATGTCTAGAAATCTCTAAAGACCCAGAACTCGACTTTGAAGCCTAGACTTCTTTCACTGATCCCTGACGACCTTGTGTTTACTACCCCCACCCCTGCCTCAAACAAAGTTCCTTATAATAAACAAATATATTTAATTGACCCTACAGGTGCATAACTATGTATATCTTGTTGGTGAAAGGGCATCATCAGGTTCAACTCTATTTTTTATGCCATACTTCTTTTTTATGACGCACTCTGGGACTTCCAGATGCATTCAAAACTTCCCTAGGTGTTCATTCATAAGGCAGATTCTACCTGCAGAGGAGGGTTCAGGGGTCACAGAAGTGTTGGCATCAGACTCTGGTCCTCCAATGAAAAGCTTCTGCAAGGAAAACTGGACGTGGCTTGATGCTGAGGCTATGAGACACTCACCATCAAGAGGGAAGCCAAGGAATCAGCCAATGTGTGCAGGACTCTTGGGACATCATATCCATCACCCCTCTGTTCTATCTACTGTGTGGGTGGAGGGAGGTTTTATTTTATAGTATTTTATTTTATTATTATTTTTTTTACTTTTCATTTGGATGTGACCCATCTTGTCAGCCCATTCTTTTATGCCCATGCATACAAATTAATTCTGTGGGTAATTCTGATAGAAAATTTGATGAGTTGGCCAGAGAAACTTCAGCAAGAGAAATTAAATTAAAAGTAGTAATTTTAAGAGAGGAGAAAAATAAAATGACAGTTTTGATCATTTCAGGCCCAGGGCATTGGATGGGGACGACATTTCAGCATTCTAATTCATTTCCTCATTTTCATTCTTTATTTAAATTGCCACTGCATCTGGAAGGAGGCTTTTCAGCCCATCCTGAACTTGCAGGAAGTGGAGGAGGTTTTGCTGCCCGGGTTTGTTCACTAGATGGCGTGGCTCAGACTACTTCTCTGCGTTGCCCGGATTCAGCTGGCTCAGGAAGCCATCACTGGACTCCTGTCAAATTTCTGTTAATTTCATTTGGGACAAACAGCATGCCCCTAAGAGTATAAGAAGTTGGGGGATTCTTTGATTCTCGAAGCAGGAGTTATTGCTGGAGAAGTGCCTGCTACTGGATTAGGAAAGATTCATAGAGCCCGACGGTACCTTGTAGATCATCGTGTCCATCTGTGGTTTCCAGACTTATTCGTTAGAGTAAAACACTTTCCTCAGCAAAATGCTATGCAGAACCAAAAACGTAACACCGGAAATAGCATAGCTCCTGTGGTTGCTTTCTGGAACCCTTGGGATTCGAGAACTATTGATCTTATGCCTTCCCTCCCTCCCTCCCTTCTCTTCCTTCTTCTCTCCCTTTCATTTTCCAGAGTTGGAAACGGAGGATGAGGGAGGACAGGATGTTCATGGCAGATCTTGGCCCCAAACCAGTCACTGAATAATCTTTCTCTGAAGCCACTGCCTTGTTTATTTAAATCCTGCCGAGTTCCCATTAAAGGAGTCTCCAAAGAAAATGGTTCTAAATTCCCTGGGAGATACTGTTGTGGATGGAGACACACAGTTGTTGAATCAGTGTGTTGACACTGATCATAAATTCAAACAGGACAAGTGTGACAATGACGAGTCTGTGGATTCCGGGCCAGACACTGGACAAACTCTTTCATGCCTTATTTTATTTTTCTTCACAAGAAAAATGTGAGGTTTGTTTTTCTATTCCTACTTTACAGATGAAGAAAATTAGATTCAGAGGTTAAACTTTTTGTATCAACTAATGTATTAAGGTAGGGGTGAAGCTCTTATGACAAAGAGACCCTAAAACACAGTGTCTTAAGTACAGTAGAATTTACTACTTCCTCACATGACAGTTCACAGGAAAGTGACCCAGGGCAGCTGGGTGTGGCTGGGCTCATTCCAAACTATGGCTTCTGTCTCTGTATCTAATATGGCTTTACCAGATCCTTTCACCTCCGAAACATCAGAGAAACCATATAGCCAGTAAATGATGGGGCCCAGATTTGAACCAAGGCTTATGTGTTTTGAAAGGCTGGTGTTAACTGACCACTGGACAAACTTCCCACGTTACTGGGGCACCTGGGTGGCTCAGTCAGTTGAATGTCCCACTTCAGCTCAGGTCATGATCTCACAGTTTGTGGGTTTGAGCCCCGTGTCAGGCTCTTTACTGACAGCTTGGAACCTGGAGCCTGCTTTGGATTCTGTGTCTCCCTCTCTCTCTCTGCCCCTCCCCAGCTCATGCTCGCTCTCTCACTCTCTCTCTCTCTCTCTCTCTCTCTCTCTCTCTCTCTCTCAAAACTAAACTAAAAACAAAACAAAACAAAACTCCCAACTTCCTCCATTACTTCCATCCCCAATCATTACAGACCAAATATAACAACCAAGTGCCACCATCTAAGGAATCATGGTTGGTTGTGGTAGCCAGCCTGCAAGATGGCTTCCAATCATTCCTACCTGTGGTATCCATGCCCTTGCGTAGGTCCCTCTCACAAGAATGGGGCCAGCCTGTGTGGTCAACAGAATATCATGGATATCATCGACAATACCTTTTGAGGAGGCTAAGTCCCCAAAGATACTGAACTTTCTGCTTAGCTCTTTCTTGGATCCCTAGCTCTGGGGAAGCCAGCATCATGCTGGAGGACACTCTAGCAGCCTTATGGAGAGGTCCACATGATAAGGAACTGAGGCCTTCCAACAGCACCCAGCACCAGCTGGCCAGCCGTGTGAGTGCACCGCCTTGGAAGCAGATCCTGCGGTCTCAGACAAGCCCATGGAGAGCTGCACCCTGGCCCGATCCCGAGTGTAACGTCCTCAAACTTCCCGCACCAGAATCAATCAGTAAAGCTGCACCCAGATCCCTTGCCTCATGGAAAATATGTGAGATAATAAATGTTTATTTTTATTTTATGCCACTAAATTTCATGGTAATTTGTTATGCAGCTATAAATAGCTAATATATTAGTATAGATGGGAGGTTAAGAGGATGCATTTTTTTTCAAGCCCAAACTCCAACCACCTTCTCAGGAGAGCCTTAATTGATCCCATCAGGGAAGTAGCTACTTTTCTTTCCTCTGAGTCATGGTTTCCTTTACCCCATCTCATGTCAGTCAAAGCTGAACTACGTATGTTTACAAGTCAGTTGTCAGTTTCCTTCTCCAGACCGCTCTCGTTCCTCAGTGACAATGGCTTGTGTTCAGATTCTTCTTCCCTGTGGCCTAAGAGCGCCAGATTACATGTGTATTGAAGTGACTGCCTGAAACCTTCTACCTATCCTTCAGCTCATTTGTTTTATAATATTATGCACATATTTGCTTCAGATGTAGGCTCTAGAAACATTGTGTTGCCTTTTACATGAAGCCTCTCAGTTGCTTCTTTGTTACAGTAACAGGGTTTTAAAAATACTCTGTATAAATAAAAGATAAATCTCCTAAGGGCCAGAGATCATGCTGTTTTAGGAGCTTTTACAAATAGTTAGCACCTCCTTATTCTTGAAAATCAGGCCTGAAATCTCATCAAAACAAATGTCCCCTGGAGATCCCCAGGGCTGAGATTTTTTTTTTTTTTTTTTTTTTTTTAAATCACATTCCCTCTTTTCCCATTTAGAAGAGGAGAGAGGAGGCCTGTCATGAGCTTGCTTGGCTCAGGTCTCCCCTGTTCCCCTGACCTGGGGGTTTCTACCTTCTGATGGACCTACCTGCTGCATTTCTGAAGCCACCTCATTTCCAGTCATGCATACAGCCTTGTGGGTAACCTTTTTGCAAAAGCACCCAAGAAGTTTCATCTAAATTTCCTTCCACGGCGCTTAATTTAGAACTGTATCAGAGGGAAGTTGGAACACATTCTGCGTCCTTTTGAAACCTGGATATTGTTCTCGGTCTTCAGACTCTAGGAAGTTAGGGAAATTTGTGTAAGTTACACGGATTTGACTTTTGGTTTAACAAAGGAAGAAGTTGAAATGTTTTCAGTGTGATTGTGGCTTAACAAATGAAAAAGGAAAAACAGGGTATTTTGTGATGGTCTACGTTGTTCTCTTGTTGAAAATGGCATAGATGCAATTCCTCATGGGTATCCACATTCCCGTCTTTACTGGGCCTTTGGTCAGAGACTTGAGTCTAGATTGATCTACAACCTTCCTTCTCCAAGAGTTACGTGTTCATATTAAAGAACATTAAGGAGCAGATTTTCTTTTTTGCTTGTTTTTCATGATGACCTTAATTAACTCACATGGGACAGTGATTAAGATCATGGTTATGAAAACAGTCATGCATCAAATGCATCATCAGAGAGAGGGGTTGTAAATTTTATCCCCCAAAACTTCCCCCACCCCAAACACATCTCAGTTATAAACATTTTCCATGCTTACCCAGATTTAAGGCTCTATCGATCCACATCATTGATTGAATAACATTGTATTCTTTGTTTTTGCTGTTAATGAAAAAATCAGCTACGTGAATTCCTGTGTCACTTGTAAGATGCATTCGTATTTTTAAGACATAATGAAAAAGGAAAAGAAATATTTATCATATGCTTAAGGATGTTTGATAAGTTTCTTGAGAGGTAAAGTCTCTTGATTCCTGGAGGTGATCAGGCAGAAACATGAATGGAGGTTAACGCACTGGAAAAAGGGCTCTAAAGTCCTGTCAATATGCCTGTTTCCAACACGAGACGGAAAGGTCTTTGAGGAAAGGGATGATGTCATGGGCACTGCTGGGTCCCTAGCACCTCGGTCGATGCCCAGCACCCAGGGTCACTTGATAATTATTTGCCGAACGAATCAAACATCGGAGATCACAGGGCCTCCCTGGTCTCTTCCGAGTTCCACCCACGCTCTCATTTTCTCCCCACCTCAGAAGGCTGTTGCAAGCATCGAATGAGGTTACCATGCACCCAGAAAGTCCTGGTATAAGTTAAATTCTCAGCAAACAGATGTCTGCTCCTTCCGCTCCTCTTCACGCTCCCCCTCCTTCCATATTCTTTGCCTACTCAGGATCCTTCAACAGAAATTAAACTTTGCAGACGTATTCCCCAGGGCCTTCCCGAAGACATACTCTTTCTGGGAGAAACTGAGTTTATTGACTCTTCAGCCTTGAGAGAGCAGTACGGGGGGTGGGGGTAGGGGGTTTGGATAGGGGCTGGTAGAGGCCCTGCTCCATCAGGCTGGGCAGGGGGCAGCAGCCCATGCCACAGGATGCCCCTTTCTCCCCGCACAGACCAAGCTTCCAGGTCGGGGGAGAGCCGGCTTTCCCTCCCACAGCGGGGCTCATGTCACCTGCCCCCTGAATGAAGTCTAGGCTGCTGGGTATGGCACTCAAGGCCTAGTTCTTTGACCTAAGTTGTACTTCTGTCTTTGTCCTCGTACTGTATCTATCACAGGCCTGGAATGTGAGAGGGGCTGGGCACATTCACGTGGGAGATGTGAAGAAGGAATTTTTTTTCTCCCCATCCATTTTCTTATTGAAGGGTGCTAGAACCCGGGGGACTGTGGTTTGAAGTCCAGCCCCAACCTCGTGTGCTCTCCCTCTCTGCCCATGATCATCTTCTTCCAGAACGGCCTCCATTCATGTCGTCCATCATCACTTCCGGCCCATGTGGCTCACGGCCTGCCACCTCCTTCCTGCAGCCCAACATACCTGCCTTTGCAGAGTGAGAACTTCAGTAGCTTTGGTCTGCTTTTATTAAATGCATCCAGGTGGAGATGAACCTTGTATGCTGGGCTGGAAGTGAGGGTCATTTCCCCAAAATGCAGTAGAAGCCAAAGAAGAATTTAAAGTGGGGTTGACAATATCAGGCTTGCGTGTTCGATCACTCAGGCAGTGTTGTGGTGGGCAGATTCTGCAAGGGAGAGATGAGAGGCAGTGAAATAATTTAGGAGTTGAATCAGGCTTGGTTGGGTCTGTTGGTACTAAACCCATCCCTTACCTGTCTTTTTATTCCTGTTCCCTAGCTTCAGAGGGAAGCCGGGATACTCTGTGTCTTTGTTCCTTTCCTTCCTCCTCCTCCTTCGCTCTCACCCTCTCCCTCAGTCTCCCTCTGTTCCTGTCTCTCTGTCTCTCTCCTTTCTATATAGGCCTTCCATGATTTCAGCTTCCCCCACATGATTCCAGACTCGGGACTCCAGTGATGTTATCTCCCCCCTTTGCCCCTGAAATCTAAGGAAGGTAGCAACTTCCTGCTGCTGTGAATCTCTGTCACCTCTGTGGATTCTCAGCTCTTCTAACACTGGTATAACCAAATTCCTGCTTTTAGTTCCTCTTTTTCGGATACTTTCTGTGGTTTCTGTTTTTCTGTTTGGACCCCGAGATAGGCTATTGAAGTCATACATGTAAAATATGTGAAGGCCTAAATAAGAGTGGCTGGAGGAGAGGAGAAGGTTTAGAGATGGCCTTAATTAAAATTCTGCATAGAGTTGTAATTCCTTGTCTTCTTGACCTAAAGAGTATCCTTTGTGGGGCGCGCCTGGGTGGCTCAGTTGGTTGAGCATCTGACTTCAGCTCAGGTCATGATCCAGCAGTTCATGGGTTTGAGCCCCGCATAGGGCTCTGTGCTGACAGCTCAGAGCCTGGAGCCTGCTTTGGACTCTGTGTCTCCCTTGCTCTCTGCCCCCCCTACGCTCATTCTCTCTCTCTTTCTCTCTCTCCCCTCTCAGAAATAAATACACATTAACAACAATTAAAAGAAACGTTAAAAAACGAGTATCCTTTCCTATTATGACATTCCACCATTTGGGATACTGTCCCCTAGATCTCACATAGCATTGGTCTTTTAAGACCCCCTTGTTATGTAACTCTGCCACTAAAGAATGATGCTTGGTCAGGCATGGGTGCTTTAATTTATCACCAGTTTTCACGTTTCCATGAAATGAAACAGACAAGGAGAACAAAAGACTAAAACAGAAATGAGAAGAGAGACAAAGCATTAACCTACAAGTTAATAGACCAGGTATTTCTGGTTATTTGTTTGCTTTGGCTAAGTGTCTAACTACCTGGGTGATCTCAGGTGAGTCACTTTCCTTCTTTGGGGCTTACTTTCTCCATCTTAAAGAATATGATCCTAATGTGCCTTCCAGTCTTGGCCAAAATTCACCATACTCTCTACTGTCCTGAGAGCTTATCATGGGATCCATCCCATTGACTTGATGACTTCTCACGCTCAGTGACTGATCCGTGATATTAAAGCCCGCATAAATGCTAATAACCTTGTTTCCCTTTGAAAAGCTATGAGAGTACAGATGGATTTTCCAGGCCCCATCTGAGCTTTGCACCCAGCAAATCAAATATCACACATTTAAATGTCCTTGGCACTCAGTGTAGACAGAAGCCTTAGCCAGACATTGCAAGGAAGGTTGGTTCATTCACCACAAAGTAGTTCAAAGTCAGACCCTCTGTTTTTGAAATGAACCAACTTGCCTCTCACCGTCTGTTTTGTAGGACCTGGAATGGTACACACTCTTATTTCCATTTGCAGCCTAATCTGTTCCCAGAAATATGTACTAGAAACCAGGAGAGAAATGTCATCCTTTGGCTGGTTACCCTAAGATACCACAAGCTACCTTCTTTTTATTTTCTTATCTTTTCTGTATTTTAAATTATGATGCTTTTCTAGAAATATCTTTATTTAAACATATTTCTCTGTCTGGGAGAATGGAAAAATGCACTTCTTCCTTGACTGGCACTAAGATCCATGCTGGAGATGGTGTCTCCTTTTTGATTAAGCAGAATCTCTCATGGGGACCTTGGCGTCCTTGCTATGTAAATTGTATGGAGGTGTTTGTTTAGATGTTGATGGCAGCTTTCCAACCCATAACATACATGTGTAGTCTGTGGGTCTGTGGCAAACACTTTGCTTATGTTGGGGATTTCTGAGATTAAAGACACGTGGCCCCTTCCATTCAGGATTTCAAATCTGACAGGGAGAAACAGAATTGTGAATAATATATGCTATAATATTGGTGGATTTATAGTATTGGATACCTCTGTCATCTTGCAAGTTTTACCCTCATCCTCCAAAGCCAAAGAGTGGCCACTAGTGGCCAATTACTGAATGGCCGGTGTAGAACCACTGAGTGAGTTATAAGGCGTCAGGACTAGAATTAGATCTTAATTTGCTAAATCTTTTTTTCTTTTTTTCTTATTTAAGTGAGAGCTGCATGCACATGAGTAGGGGAGAGGGGCAGAGGGAGAGAGAGAGAGAGAGAGAGAGAGAGAGAGAGAGAGAGAGAGAGAATGAGAGAATCTTAAGCAGGCTGTATGCTTAGCACAGAGCCCAATACAGGACTCAATCCCACGACCCCGGAATCATGACCTGAGCCGAAACGAAGAGTCAGATACTCAACCGACTGAGCCATCTGGGTGCCCCCTAACTTCCCAAATCTTGGCAAAAAGAGTTATTCTAATCATTTTTCCAAAATCGGAGTTTATATACCTGCATGTTTGAAACAAAAGTTTCCAATATATTCAAAAGTATGACCTGTCAATTTGAAGGTGTGCCTCAAAAGTCATAAAAGTGGTACATGGATCTCGTGCCAACACTTTCTCTTAAAGGAACACACCCTAGGAAGCTATAGATGCTCTCAAATGTGTATTGTATGTTCATTACAGAATTATTTGCAGTAGCCACAGGAGAAAAATACCACCTGATTATAAAGTGTGAGTTCAGTCAATTATGGTAGGGTGATATGATAGAATGCCATGCAGTGGTGATGTAGAAAAGGACTTAATGGCAGGGCATTACATAATTTGATAACATAGCAGGTGATGAAATTCTGCAGGCAGTGAGATTAAATTTAAATATTTGCATGTGTTTGTGTATAGTGATAGATATAGATGTAGGCACACACACATATTGGAAGAAATGTAGAAGGGTATGCACACTACTTAACACTGGTTATTTCTTGATGAGGCTATGTGAAGTGACATTTTGTTTTGTGCATGTATGCTGTAATGTATGTGGATTGCTTTTAAAATCAGAAAATGTGTTGATTAAAAAAAAATGGGACTGGTTTCCAGATATGCTGAAGCCAGGACAATTAGTGGGGGCTAGCTGTCAGAGCCACTGGAGAGATTTTGAGTCTACAGGCTTCAAAAAGCCCCTTCCAGAATGAACTCCAACTTTGACATTTGGAAATGGGCCACTTGAAAATGGACATTCCAAGCACATCTGTGTATGTAAGACTGAGAGTAGTTGTAATAAACAGATCTCTGGATGACATGGGATAGTTGGTTGGGTTGGACAGACTGACAATGGAGAGTCTTAACCAGATGGAGTTCACGGGATGGGGGCTTATGTCAATGCTCCCATCTGCTTCAACTCCTTCTCAAGGCACTGCTGTCACAATAGGGGAGTAATTAGAATAACTTTGAAGCAAGACAACCAAGCAGTTGCTCTGACATAGTCTGACTCAAACTTCAATATTGAATCAGGATCATGGGTATGGGATGGCTCTCCTCTTACCTGATTCACGATGGGGATTTTACATTGGAGGCACAGAATGATAGTGGAACTTACTCCCTGAGACTAGTGATATACCTGAATGCATCTCAATAGTGCCCTACAAATCACTTTCTAGAGGGAAAAGTTGGAGGCTTCCTCTGCAAATAACTAAGACAACAAATTACCTATTGTTTGGGTATTTTGTGGCCCACAGTGTGCATCGATTAGATGTAGTTTCCTTGGCTCCCTTCCACCACACTCATGCCTTCTTTCCATTCCTTTTTAATTCCCAATAAGGAGGAAGGATTGGCTAGTCTGAATGAGTCCAGGAGAGCCACTGACGTTTTGCTGCTGGGTGTGGTGATCATATGTTAAGGCTCATCATTCCCATAACTATTCTTTTTCTTCTTCCTTCTCTACAAGTCTGGGCAGGGCCTATCCTCAGGGCCAGTTTTCTTCTTCACTCCCCAGGTTCCCTGAGTTTGCAGCTGGGCAGACAAGGGGATCAGAGCCCCTGTTTTAGTTCCACTACTGGCTTGCCATCCGGAGCAAGTATGCATTCCTCTGTGGCCTGCAGTTGTCCCATCTGTGAACCAGAGGGATAGGCTTGGTCATCCCCCAGTTGTCTTACAGCAGGATTTCTCAACCTTATTGACATTTTGTGCTGGATAATGTCTTTGTTGTGGCGGGCTTTCTGTGCATCACAGAATGTTTACCAGCACCCCCGGACAGTAACACTGCCCTCTCCCCTTATGACAACCCCAAATGTCTCCAGACATTGCCAGATGCCCCCAGAGGAGCAAGATTGCCCCTAGTTGAAAGCCACTGCATTTCTCCTAAGACTTTCTAGGTGCACTTTCACCCCCCCCCCCATTTGCAGTGTTGGAAAGTAGCATGTGGTTTTCCTGATACATGTGGGCAGGTATCTCTAGAAAAGCCACATCACTGAGAGTTCAATTTAAAACTCTTGCCCTGACACACAGCCACGTTGAGAGGTCTGGCTCACCTCCAGCAGACCTCAGACACCCTGAAGGGTGGGTGTTCCCCTTAGGGACCTTTAGCACAGCCCCTCCTCTGCTTCCAGAGGAGTCAGGGAGTGAGGCCTTGTTCTGCTTCCTGGCCCCTGAGAGCCCATGGGGATTTGGGGCTTGGCTCAGAGCCCGCACAGGGGAGAGGCTGGTGTGGAGGCGAGACCAGGGCAATGATGAGAGAATGCAGGAGTGGGGTTAGGCATTTCCTTAGCTTCATTGGAAACAGATGCCTAGCGGAGGTGGAGGGCTGGGGCCTGCTTCAGACCAGCGTGCTTGGCAGCTCTCCTCCCCATATCCCTCAACCCCCGCTGTCTTCCCCCCCACCCCCACAGGCACCACCAGGTGATTATTTAAGAGGAGGGCTCTGGTTTT